GGTCAACTTTCAGTCAAGCATCACTCCTAAAAACTTGACTTCTGGTACGACAGGAATCAATGAATCTTGAAATTGAAGCTCCAGCTCAGGATGCAAATTTCGCTTTCGGCAAAAGTGTACGCAGACAGTCTTTTGCTTTGAAAAGATATACATATGTTTTTCTGACCATTTCTCAATTCTGTTAAGAGCAATCTGCAACTGTCTCTCCCCAAATCTCATATCTGCACCACGACAACTTATTTGGAGGTCATCCATATATAATGACCCTGACGCAGTAGGGGGGAGTTCCTTTAAAATAGTATTTATTTTTAAACTAAATAATAATAAAACGCAGCATAAAGTAAAACTTAAAATGCAGCCTTGAGGCACACTCTGTTCTTGTTCGAATACATCTGAGAAAACAAAGCCAATCCTCACTTCAAATGTCCTAGCTCTCAAAACATTTTGTATGAAAATTGGTAAATTGCCGTGCAAGCCACAGGCATGAAGATCTCTAAAATGCCATACCTCCAGGTCTTGTCATACGCTTTTTCTATGTCAAAGAACAGAGACACAAGGTGATTTCTCTTGACAAAAGCTTTACGAATTGAGTCTTCAACATAAGAATATTGTCAGTCATAGATCTACCTTTATGGAAACCTTTCTGGGGTACAGGGAGATTACTTTGTTTTTCTCTAGGTAGTAGACTAAGCGACAATTTACCATTGTTTCAAACAACTTACAGATGCAACTAGTTAATGCAATGGGCCAATAATTAGAGGGATTCTTCAGGTCTTTGCCTGGTTTAGCTATGGGAATGACAACAGCTTTTTTCTACAAACTGGGAAAACAGTGCTCCTTTCACACTCGATTGTAAAGAGAGAGAAAGGCGACCAATGCCATATAGCAAAGATGTTTCAGCATATCATAACTGACACCATCAGGACCCGGACTAGACCTATGAGTCTGAAGCAAAGCTCTCTTTAGCTCAAGCATAGTAAAATCTTTATTATGAGGATCCAAGGTACTAGAGTTAAAGGATATGGGAGAGTTTAAGGCTGGCAGATAGTTGTTGCCACTAGAAACAGCCGCAAATGTCTCAAAAATAGCATTTACAATTTCTTCTGTAGTGCTAATTACCCAGCCACCTTTTTCCAAGATGGAAACTGCATGATCTTTATACATACCTCATCCTTTCCTAATTCTCTCCCATACCCTTTTTACTCCGAGTGAAGGATGTTATTGATGACACATAGTGTATCCACGAATCCCTTTGGCTCTTTCATTGTACTTTTCTTGCATTTGCTTTCACTTTTTTGAAGGCTATGAGGTTTGACAAAGTAGAAATCTACGAAAGACGTACCTACGAAAAATTCCCCAAGCTTTTCTCTGTTCTCTAAGGGTTTCTTGACACTTACGGTTCCACCACGGCTTTGAATACTTTCGCATCATTCCTGATGTCATTGGTATAGAAACTCTAAGCTGCCTGCATTTTTTTATCAGTAACGGCTTTCACTGCATCATTGATTCCCACATCTTCCACCATCTCTTCAGTGAGCTCGGCAAGAGACGAGAAGTGCTGCCAGTCTGCCTTCTCCAGTATAAATCGAGGAGATCTTGACATGGGATTTGCACCTTCTCATGTGATAGAGGCTTAAAGAGGAAAATGATCACTGTTATGAAGACCATTCCCAACATCAAAAGGGCAAAAGAGATGGTGAACAGATAGCAAAATCAGGAGCATGAAAGAAAAGTCCTTGTAGGCTCATTGAAGTAAGTAACTAATACGTAACTCCATTATTGAGGAGACAAAGAGAATGATTTTCAAGCATTATTTCCATATGTCTACCTCGAGGATTAGTATCCTTGTTCCCCCAAAGCAAACTATGGGCATTAAAGTCGCCTGTTACGACAAAACATTCAAGCAGTTGCTCTATTAGACTATCCAAATCCCTTTGATCAACAAGGACATTTGGTGGCAAATAAACATAACAAACTGAAACCAAGGTTCTTATATTTATTCGGATGGCAACAGCTTGGAAGCTTGTATTTAAAGGAAGTGAATTGCTTAGGTAGTCTAGTGAGGCGAGGAGGCTTACACCTCCACTGGCTCATTCACCTATAAGATTGTCTTTCCTAAAATTGAGGACCTTCAAAGTTTAGCTTGCCTTTCTGATTCCAGGTGAGTTACCCGCGATGCCAAAACCACAGGATGATGCAAATTGATCATGTCTTTGATGTTTTCAAGATGTTGATGGAAACCCCAACAATTTCAAGAAATAACGGTGGCCATTATGTTCCATATTTATTTTTACAGTGCTGCTTTTTCCTCTTTTGAGGAAGGTGTTTTGGGATTTCCATTCCATCTTCTACTTCCATGTTATCCGAGTCCGGAGTGTTAGAGATAAAATCCTCAATTGAGCTATTGCTCAGATTTTGCTTTTTGTTAACTGTTTTTTGTAAGCTTGTTTTTGGATTTTTGAGTTACTATTTTTTTTTCTGGATTGTGTGAAGTGGGACTTTCTTGTTTTTATTATTAATTGGAGGCTCTTGGGTTTTGGCTGATGAAAAGAAAGATGTTTGGATGGCAACTGATCTCGTGGAATTAACAGCATTGGCAAAGATAAATTTGGATGCACTTTGGAGCTTTCTACTATTTTCCTAGCTTCAGCATAAGATACATTTCTAGTTATTTTTGTCGCCTGAACTCCCCTTTCAGATTTCCATCTAGGACAAGAGCGAAAAAGTGCTGGGTGTTCACACTTGCAATTTACACACAATGGCGCAGCAGTGCATTTATCACTATCGTGACCAACCATCGAGCATCTGGTGCACATAAGGTTGCCACGACAGGATGTCTTAGAGTGACCAAACCACTGGCATTGGAAGCATTGCATTGGGTTGGGAATATATGGCCTTATGGAACAGTTCAGATACCCAGCCTTTATATTCTTCAATCAGGCAATTTGAAGGTCAGGATCACGTTTAGTGGCAATCAACTGTCCTTCCTTTCACATCTTGATCCACATGGCACCACAGACATTTTGATCTGCAAGCACAGAAATGAACTCTTCTTCTGAAACAAAGAAAAGGTCGATTTCTGAGATCACACCTCTACAGGAATTAAGTGTTTTTTGCACTGACATAGTTATAGATGTTTGTCCAAGTTTAGTTTGTCGAGAAAGGGAAGCAGACTGGGTGGCCGATACAGTATCAATAAGCAGGTCTCCTGATCAGAGATGCTTTATGTTCCTTGGCTCACCTATACATGAATGGATATATTTGCTTACTAGAAAAGGAGACATCTTTTGCAGTTCACCAAAAGGAGACTAGAGACAACAAGGAAGTGCACGGTTTTCTCAGAAGTTTCCTTGGCATTTGCATCTGTACATATTTTCTTATTTAAGAGATTTGTCAATAACTTCAATACTTTGATCGTTTTCATTTGATTTAAGGAGAAACATAGGAAGCCATGATTAAAATAGAAATGATTCAGGTCTCAACGGCCCCGCCCACCACGGAGCCCAACAAAGGAACATAGAACACTGTGTTAGGGCTAGCCGAGACCTATATGCAAACTGAAGTCCCACAGTCAGCTTTCCTGAAAGCAGGTACTTCCAAGAGAGCTTATCCTCAAGCCAGACAGAAGGACTACTGACCAGCTGATTGACACCTGTGAGGACGACAAGGTGCCTCCTGTTTAGCTGAAGCAGAGGCCAAAGCAGTATGTTGGGGACAGTACCTCTTTCCTCAACTACCAGGACCCTCCTTTCCAGCGACAGAGGGCTGCACACACGGCAAGCACGAAGGCAGTTTTCCCACCACTTGAAAAGTAGAGAGAAAGGCTGTAACAGTATCTCGTGACGAGCCCCAACCTCTGAAGAGGAAAACCACAAGGGAGGAGGGAAGGAATAAAGTTTCAGCTTAGAGGAGACGGAAAAGAGGAAAGATCACTGGGGCCCAGGTTCATGACACCCGTCTCATCAAGATGATCCTCTGGAGAGCAAGGGTACATCAGGATTGCTACACCCGTATTTACAAAAGTGAGCCCCTGAGGGAAGGAAACGAAAGAAGAGGAATTCATCAATTTCAATGCCACATCATCAGGAGGAGGAAACATTGAAACCAATCAAAATCTCTCTTCCATAAAAAAATCCTTCTTTTTCTGTATCCAGAATTAGCTGGGAAACTATTCCAAAGTATTTTAATTATAATAGTTCACGTGAAAATTCTAGCTCCTCCCCAAAGCGAATAAAAATGGTAAAAATACAAAGTCAAATATTAAAAACGTCTCCCAATTTTAAATATATTTTTTAAATCTAAAGAGAATTTTTAATAAAAATGAAACTTTGAAGTTTTAATTTTTATGAAAACTTGAAGCTTTAATTTTTATTCAAAATTCTTCTGAGATTAATAAAATCATTTTAAATTGAGAGAGCTTTTTAATATTTTACTTTGTATTTCTACCATTTTCCCTCGCTTTCACTGGTGTTTGATAAGAGGTTGTAAGACTTTCACTTACTGTAATTCTCAGTTACTTTAGAAAGTGATGAATATTGAGAACTAGTTGGCGAATAATCGCTTAAGTTCGTGTGACAAGAAACAACAAGATGGAAGGGTAACTAACCCTTTATTATTCCAATAAGATTTAACAAAACTCTGTCTTGGAGTATACAATCAAAGCTGACACTTGGGCTTGAACTTAAGAGACTAAGAATTAAACTAAAACTAAGATTAACTAAAGAAATATAGCCGAAGCTATCAAGAGTCTGGACTGATTGGCCCCTTAACTCTACTTGACTACGTAGGTTATCAAGGGCTTGAGTACAGCCAAGCGTAATAACAGCATTAAGAGACAGTTGAGAATTTGACAGGAAAGGAATTTAACTGTTTATAAAATTAACACAATCCTTACAAGGTTCTAGCAAAGATTTGTGTTAATATTAATGAACTTTACTAATAAAAATAACTTCAATGAATTATAAATTTATAAAAAGGGCTTAGCTTTAAAATTAACTTACCCATTATATACTTTTAGTCCACTTGCTAATATTTTTGATTTTAAGTCTCCCACCTTTAACTTAGCTTCATCATCTTCTGGCATGAAGTGAAGTTTCCACTCCATTGGTACTTGCCTAAAAAGAATAAAGTAAAATCTGATATTAAATTTAGGAAAGAACTTAGGCAACTTGACAGTACACATATGAAAAGATTCAAAGCAAAAAATTTGAACAAATAAGCATATAAAAAGTCATTAAAAGCGAAACCATGCTTCATCATGGTTTTGCTTTTAAAATATTTTTTTTCAGGTATTAGTTCATCTAAAGTGTTCAGGAAGGAAACAAAATCAAAGAGATCACGCCATATTATTTGTAGATATTTAGATTTATCCAAACAAATACTTATGCCATAGAGGATTGAACATAACAGATTGATCACGGCAAATCCTTCTATTTACAAGTAAAAACTTCCTACAAAAATGAAATAATCATACATACGTAGAATGACGTAATACAAATATTTAAAACTGTCCATTGACAACTTTTAATATAGTTACATACAGTGAACTACTGCAACTTGTATATATATGTAAAATATAAAAAATACGATGGCTTTGCTCTATGCGAACAGGAAACCTCTAATTAACTTTCTGCAATTTAGGATCTTCCCCTAGACCAGTACCTTCAAGAACATTCTAGCTTATTATGTAACAGCTACTATAAATAACGAAAGTGCACCATTTTGCAAACAGAAGCACGCCTCTCCTCCTGTGCTTTACATCTCGCTGCTGCTTAACCTATCTTTCCTTTGTTAGAAATAGTCATGATGCAGAAAGTTTAAATTCAATCGTACTTATTTTAAACCACTATTGAATATGTAATTTGGAGAATTTCATATAAAGTAACGCATTATCTACGGTGAAAATTGAATTAAAGCTATGGAATAAAGATGTGCAAATTAAAAGCTAAATCATCTTGTCTCGTCATTTGGATTCTGCCTTACCACTCTGCAAAAGCAATGCCTGAACTTAGATGTCAAGCTTTATCACGACTGCTGGAAATGGGCCTATTTCATGCCTTTAGACTGTCTATTAGCTCTTGGACAGTGAAAATGCCTTTTTCCTTTCTTAAATTCTTAATCATTGTGACACGACAATTAGCCAGAAATTAATTAATTTCCATTCACTAGTATTTTCAAAAATCTTAACAGAAGGTCTCTCTCAGATAAGAACTCCACAAAATACATCCCTCAAGAATTCCAAGTCCCACCCACTACCATAAATTACTTCACCCAAGTCTTACCGACTGATATTATTCAAAGCCCCTACTGCCGCTAAGAATTTTCGGACACCCTACACTTCTGAGTCAGACACGAAGAGAACACTTTGCCAACTCCCCCACTAGAAAGAATGTAAGTTACTTAATACCTTTTCTGGCCTTTATATCTTCATGTACATTCACTGATCTTATTCATATTATTTTTCTATATTATTTTTATATTTTTTTATATTTTCTTTGATTTGTTTTACAAAGTTTGCATTATTTATCTTTTTTTATAATCTTCTATGTTTATTTCAACTTTACTTTGAATTCGATTTCATAATGACAATTTCCAATGTTTAATTTCTACAAATAATATAGTACTCAAATGCATAAACATGAAAGTGTCGGGGACGGTTACTCGAGTTTTATTGGATTTCTCTATAGTAATTGATTTTTACTCCAAATTGAATTGACTAAAATGCTTCATAAGAATAAGTTCTTTGAGTATCAGCATTGGTTCATAATTCCTACTATTCGCAGAAATATTTGGACTGACTAGAATTGCCGGTTTTGCTTTAACTTATAACTCAAGTAAAGACGAAACACTTTCGTATTTACGTATTTTTATCAATTATTGTTCATTGAGCGGGAGTTGGTTTGTTCCCCTTGAAAAGTCAACTAATTTCCGATCAATGACAATGATTACATGTTTTCATTTTTCCTTTTACAATTGAAATATTATTCTTCATGATGATTTAACTCCAGTCCTCGTTAAAACATTATTAACATTTTGCTTTCAAATTACTTCAAAACATCTTTCGAAATATAACTTACCAGTATGGATGCACACTTTTAAAATAATTCTACTTTAATTAAACTTAGGAGATAATATAATCAATTAATCAATACTGTTTAGGAAATAAATTATTATTAACTAACTTTGCAGCAATTGCGCAAGTAATAATAACTTGTATTCGCACTTAAATGGAATTTAAGATCATACAACATTTGATATGCTAAATAGCAGCTATTAGCGCTATTTATCTCTTGCCTCATGTACCTACTTTATATATTACCTCCCTCTTCTTTTTAAAGTTTTAAAGTTCTTATACAAAAACTTTACTGTATTGAAGGTTAGCAGCCTCCTTACTTTTATATCTTGCTAGTTTAACTCATATTGAAATCATTAAATGTCATTCCACTAGATGAAAAACTTGAAAATTTAACGCCATGCCTGCTACAGGTAAACCCAAAAAACAATTTCTATGAAAAACATTTAACTGTATTTACACGATTACATGCGGTACTTGACATATTAAATATATAGGACAAACTAAAAACAATCTTAACTTTCGAATCAATAACCATAAAGCTCAAATAAAAAAATTCAACGCACAAAAAATAGCATTAAAATAAATACACCATCACAACTTAATACAGCAGAATTAGAACACTTTAAACACCATGACTTCAACTCTATTCAACTTCAGATACTAGATATAATACCCAATCACAAAACACGAATTTTTCTGGAATCTCTATATACTAAAACAACGTTCACTTTATCCCTATGGACTTAACACTTATATATATAGTCATAGAGATACTTCTAAGATGTCTATTTTCAGCCAATTTAAGCTCTACAGTATCAAAACGCAGAGAGGAAAAAGAGGAAGCAAAATAAAAAATAATGCGAGATTTTTATCCACTTTGGATACACTTGCATTGAAAAAACAATTGAAATGTTTTTTTGACTCAGACTGCTTTCCCTAGAAACTTCTCAACTGGTAACACTCCTGTACTAATAAATTCCTTATCAAACTAAAAAAATTCATTCAAGAAAGCTACGACGACATACAAATCATTAAAGACATGATTCTTGATTTTAGTCTTTTCAGACTCTCTAATAGTCTCACTCAACGCAAAATTTATTTTAAGTCAATTTTCTGCATCCGCAGTTTGACAATATTCATTTCTCAAGAATCATCAGAGATTTTAAAGATTACTTCCCCGCAGTTGACACAATACCAATGATTGCATTTAAATATCAAAGGACCTTAAGCAACTTGCTTACTAACCACCATGAAATAGGTGAAACTGCAGAATGACATTGTAAGACACCAATTTACAGCAATTACGTAGATTCTCATCACCAGCACATAATTACTGGCAACCTGAATATCATACAAAACCATCAACTAAAAACACTAATGAGTTATGGTACAAAATTTAGACCAGTCAGAAACATGACTACAAATTACTGTTACAAGACTTTCGAAAACAACATCAACGAATTTATAGTTAAAGCAAGCTATCAACTGAATTTACCCATTGATACCTTCTTAAAATGGAAAGCTAAAATTCTTCAATTCTTCAACGCATATCCACCAAAATCAGTCACCTCAAATTTAAAAGTACACTGAATTGGTCGCAACTTACATCAGATATTAATAAATTAAAACAGCTTTTTACTATTACAAAATAGATAAAGCAACTAATAACTTTAGCATTATATGAAAACAATTCTACACTGAAATTATTCATAAAGAACTTCTCAACGCAACTACTTATCAATTAGCCAACCTTACAGAAACATCTATAATAAACAGGATTAAAACTTTTCATAAGAAATTCAGTATTACTTTCAATGCAAACTACAACAAATTTACTAATCTTTATGCGATTCCCAAATTCCATAAAACACCATTAAAATTTAGATTTATAGCTAATGGAACTAATAATTACAAGAAAAAATGTAGACAATTATTTTTCAATTCAACTTAATAAAATCTGTAAATTTATTTTCAATGATTGTAACACTAATCATAACTATTGCTGGATCATTAATACCATTCATACCATTGACATCCAAAACATTAACTGCTACAATTTTGAAAATTATATACCTCACTTCCTCTAGAAGAAATCTATACCAGTCTACTTGATCTACCAAAACTTTTCCCTAATATACTCAATATCATGACTCTTGACAAATGGAAAACCTACCTAAAATGCACACTTTTTCATAACTACATCAAGTTTCAAAATCACTTTTTAAACACGTCAGAGGATAGCCAATGGGCTTACATTCCAGCACCTCGATTTGTAATATCTTTTTATTTGTCAAAGAATTTAACTTCCAAAAAAATCTACAACCACAAGAGTTAAATTACTACAAACACACCTACAGATATATTGATGACCTTATTACAATTAATAATTTTGGTAAAATTGAACACTCCGAGATTTATCCGAATTGTCTTACACTTAATAAAACTAATAATTCACAAAATAGCATAGACTTTCTAGATCTTCAAATCATTAAATACAAAAAAGTTTTACTTTTTGACAAAACAAGAAACTTCAATTTCAGTACTAACAAATTAATAAATTGGAACTCCAACATATCCAAAAAAGTAATTAACAATACTATAATTAATCAAATACAACGAATTAAAACTATATGCACAGATACAATAGATTTACAATGTGAAATTTTGATCCTTATCAAAATTCTCAAAAATAATCTAATTCCCTTTCAATTTATCAACCATTGCCTTAAAAGAGCAGGCATTAAATACTCACTCTAAATCATTTAACTGAGAGGGATATGATAATTTATTCCTAAACCTGAGAAGGCGGTATAAGTTGGATGACTGTCAGTTGGAAGATTTGTATATAGTGTAATTTCAATTCAATTATATATATTGTAAAAAGCTAATTGTCAGACTTACTGTTACTATACTGTTACTAAAAAAATGGGCCTATTTCATGCCTTTAGACTGTCTATTAGCTCTTGGACAATGAAAATGCCTTTTCCTTTCTTGAATTCTTAATCATTGCGACACGACAATTAGCCAGAAATTAATTAA